GGCGGGGCGGGGCGGAGCGGGGCAAGGCGGGCGGGGTGGTGCAGGGCGTGGTGCCGAAGGCCACCGCAAGGGGAATGGAATGGGATGGGATGGCCAAGTTAATGATTCAACATTTGTCCCCGGGCCCGGGCGGCCGACCGCGGGGGGACAGCCTAGGCTCCGTGGCTCCGTCCGGGTCGGGTCACCTTGCGTCAGGTTGCAAAGCAAGCTGGTTGTTTGGGAGGCGGGGGCGGGGGGCGTGGACGGTGTGGCTACCCCATCATCAGAGGGCCGCTGTAGCCCCTGGGGACCCACCCGGAGAACCGCACCGCCCCGCCCCACCCGCTCTCGCGTGAGCGGGGTGCTCAAGGTCCACATGTACTCCGGGACCGGGCGAACTGGACGAACTGGGCGAACACTCGGGGATTCGGCCGGCAGAGTCATTCAAATAAAACGACTAACGACGCCCCGTGTGCTTCGCAGGGCATGTTCCAGAACAAGACGGCGTACCCGACGCTGACCAGGATGTCGTACTGCCAGTGCCGCCTCGTGCAGGTGTTCGCCGCCATCTTCCACCAGTTCGCGTGGCGCCATGTCGCCCTCATCCTCGACAAGTCCGACCTCTTCTCGCTGACAGTCGGTACGTAGGCCAGAGTGATAGCAGTCGAGGTCCGCGTGCTTCTCCAACCAGTCACTCAAGTACCACGTTTCGTCTTGTTTCCGACCCACCAGGCAAGAACCTGGAGCACGGGCTGCGCAAGGCCGGCTTGCTGAAGTACGTGCGGGAGCTGGACGGCAACGAGGAGGACGGCATCGAGGGCTACCTGACGGACGCCAGCATGTACGCCCGGGGTACGCAGCAGTGGCGGCGGGTGGCGAGGGTGTCTGCGAGGCGGCGGCTGACGGCTCACTCTCTGTTGCAGTGGTGATCCTGAGTGTGCGCGGCGTCCTCAAGCGCCGCTTCATGCTCACGGCGCACACCATGGGCATGACACGTGGCGACTGGACCTTCCTGGACGTCGACATCTTCCACGTGAGTTGTGGCCCCCGTTGGCTGCGCCCCATATCGGCCGCACTCGCCCTGAAAAAAAAAAGCCGGCTGAAGCAAGAAGGCAGCAGGGTCAGGGCTGCTGGGCGCGCGGTCCTCCCAGAAACTATTTCCAATAACCAATCAGTCCAGCTGTCAGAGTCTGGCAGCGCCGCCTCCCCCACCACGTGCCTCGACACGTGCGAATGACAGCCCGCTGATAATCACATTCCTCCGAGACTAGAGCAGGCTGCGGATGTATTGCGCCCCAGCCTCCCGAGGTTACGGCGGGGCCGAGATAGCGGGTCCAAAACCCGGGCGGGTTATCGCTGCAGGAGAGGCTGCGGGGCGCCCGGCGGGGCGGCGCGGGCAGCGGGCGGCGCGCGCGCGTGCGGCGGGCCGGCCTACCCCCGGGCGGCCCACCCGCGCCGACATGTGCTCGGCGGGCGACTCGGCGCGCACGCGGCGGCGGGGCGCGGCGGCGCTGACATTGAACTAAATCCGTCCCGCCTTGTTCGGGCGGGGCGGGGCGGGGCTGGGCGGGGAGCGGTTCATGGCGAGGCGGCCAGCACGGCCAGTGGCTCGGGCGGGGCGGCGGGCGCACATAACCCCCTGCACGTGTCTCCTTGGGGTGTGTGTCAACATCGGCCGCTCGATGTGCGGCGGCGCCGCGGCCGCGACCACGACCTCCGCGCCGCGTGCGGCAGATGTACTCGCCCGAACCGCAATGCTGGGCGGCCCGAACGTCGACCCGCCCCTCTAGGTCGTCGTCATCCTGTTTGGCGTCGCAGCCGGTCCCCCGTGGCGGCCGCCTTGCACCGGCTGATGAGGAGGAGGAGGAGGGCGGGTGTCGGGGAGAGATTAGGGCGCTGCTACTTCATATACGAGCCTCATTACCGGCCCCCCAACCCCCAGCCCGGCGGGTAGAGGACGCGCTGCCCCTGCAAACACGGGTAGGTCGTAGGCCGGCTCATCAGGGGGCCGTGAGGAGGGGCCGTGAACCCAGCCAGGGGGAGGGGGTGGAGGTGGAAGGGGCAGGGGGGCTCTAAGCTCTGAGCTCTAAGCGACAAGGACGCATTGTGAGTGGAGCCTGGCCTCGGGGCGGGGGAGGAAGACGATTCCGGGAATTGGGAACCGGAAAACCAACACACAGAGATAGACACACACACACGCGCGCGAGCGCGCCCGCGCATATACTAACACTCCCTCATGCAGAGATTCACAAAGGGGCCCTTTGACTACCTTGAAACTCTCGGAGCGCTGCTTCCCCCACCCGCCTCTTCCCCCGACCCCTTGTCCGGCAGTGATCCCAAGGAGGGTTAGGCGGGTTAGGGCGAAGCTATGCTGGGAGGGAGAGCCTGCCCCCGCCCTGCCCTGCCCCTGGCGGCGCCGAGACTTCCTGGCGCGCGGACCCAACAGTCGGTAGCAGTGGATCGGCGTAATTTGATTTGCAGCGTCGCTAAAGACGCCCGTCGCCAGGACGACCGTCCTCCCCCAGCCCTGCCGCCCTTGCCAAAACCTTTCCTCCCGCCTCCACGTTGGCCATGGCCGTGGACCGAGACTTTGCGTGGAATCCCGTCGGTTCGATCTTTGCCTTTTTTTCCGACGGCGTGGCGTGCCAGGGCTCGTTCTGGGGCGACCGCGGCTGGGCCTGGGGGGACTCGCCCGCGGAGGACGCCGACGCCCGCCACGCCTACGAGGCCCTGCTCCGGGTGTCGCTGCTCGTGCCCACCTCCAGAGGCTTCGTGGACTTCGCCGACAAGGTGCGGCTGCGCGCCTTTGAGCACTACAACTACAACTTCAGCTCGGACGAGGAGGTCAACTTCTTCATCGGCGCCTTCTACGACGGCGTGCAGCTGCTCGGGATGGCGCTCAACGAGACCCTGACCGAGGGGGGTGACATCACGGACGGCGTGGCGGTCACGCGGCGCATGTGGAACCGCGAGTTCGACGGTGAGCCCGAGCACAAGTGTCTCACACATCGTACCCGCCCGGAGCGGTGGCTTTATTGCTCAATGAAAACATGTCAAACCCTTTCTCTGCAGGCATTACGGGGCACGTCCGCATCGACGACAGCGGCGACCGGGACGCCGACTACTCCGTCCTGGACCTGGACCCCATCACGGGCCGCTTCGAGGAGGTGGCGCACTACAGCGGGCTCACCAAGAACTACACGCCGCTCATGGGCAAGCAGATCCACTGGCCGGGAGGCAGCACGGGGCCGCCGCCCGACGTGCCGGCCTGCGGCTTCATGAACACGGACCCACAGTGCACCTCCTCAGGTACCACACAAAGTCTTCACAGCGGAGTAACTGTAACCCTCTCTTCCTTATAGACGTTGAGCTTTTGCAGGGTATAAAGGACATGAGCCCGACCAGATCTGAGACCGGACCACTGTACGCCCCACCAGTGCCTGATATGAGCCCTGATGATAGTAGATCCTGGACCATCGGGCACTGGTTGGGGCTACAATGATCCGGGCTCATGTCCTTGCCTTGCTCCGGTAACTTGAACCGCGTGCCACATGCTCCAACGTCGGCTGCAAATAATGAAGCCGACGAAGCTCCATGTAACATTCAGCCCCTAATTCTAGGAGGAGGAAGGAAACGTTTATTTTGCCTGGCAGGCGCCTTGTTTTTCCGGGTGGCCCCGGTGGAAGCTGTGGGGTGGCGGCCAGCGGGCCGGATCCGTGCTGATGTCGCCTTCGCTCCGCGCGCAGCTCCCCGATGCACGGTCCCCGGGGGAGGGTCGGGCGGCGGCGGCAGGCGGGCGGGTCGGGGATGTGTCGAGATGGGGTCTCTAACGAGATTACCACGATGTGGCGGGAGCAGGAGCACAGCAAGGGCAGCGGCGGCGGCACGGTACGGTGGGGGCGGGCCGGGGGCCAGCGCGTGTCGAAGGGGGCCGAGCTCGGGCAAATCAAACAGAAGGGAAGTGGAACCGGAGAGCGGAGCGCGGAGCGGGCCCCAGAGCCGCCCCCATGCCACCCCCGCCCCGGGCCGCCCAGACCCGGGGATACTTCCTCCATGCCCAGACCGCGAAAGGTGATCTAACAGCCGTGTGCAAACAAGACCAGCGGCTGGGGCGGGCCGGGCGGGTCGGGCGGGACGTCCACTCACGCGCCTTTATCTTCAATCCTGTGGCCGAGCTTTTATCGGCCACCCCTCCCGTGCTCGCCTCACCCCGCTTCCGCCCCCGGTCCTGCAATCTCCCTCGGCTAAGCCCCCCCCTCCCCCCTCTGGCCCCGGGGGCGTGCACACAGCGCGGCCACGCGCCAGACACCGCCGCGTCGTGTTCTTATCGACTACAACAAGTGGTTTACCCCCTCCGCGCGTTTGTTGCAGAGCACAGCCTGATCCTCACCTCCGCCGTGCTCGCCGTCTGCCTGCTCCTGGCGGGAGGGGTCACCGTCGCCTGCGTAGCCTACAGGTGGGTATCGTCGAGCGGAAGAAAGGACAACCGGAAAGGGCGCGAGTCAAGCAGGATTCTTCTTTCGAATCGCTCCGAATCTCTTACACAACCGCCGGGAACGACCCGATCGCGCGTCGTAGTCGGTAAAGACCTCGGGGCATCTTGCCCCCTCGCCTCCGCCCCTGCCGCTGCTCAAAACCCTATCAAGCTGTGTGCTCCCGCTATCGGGCGGGAGGCCAGCAGCCTCAGCCTCGGCTGGCCGCTGGCCCTGGCGGGGGCCCTGGGCCAGGCGCGTGCCGCCGCAAGGGCGCGGGTCCTCGAGTGACCGTCAAGGTGACCGTCGACCTGACGATGCTTGTCGCTGCCCTACCGCAGGAGGATGAAGGAGGCCGCTGACCTGCACAACATGTCCTGGAGGGTGCGGCCCGAGGAGGTGCTGCTCGAGGTCGGCAAGACGTTCTCCTCGCGGCTCGGCCTGCAGAAGAACTCCGAGGTGAGTGCGAGGGGGGCACCACTCGTGTAATCCTGTGTACAGATGAGGGTGTAAATCCTTATTTATTGCCCTATATCCTTGTGTAATACTTGACCAAATTTTAAACCATTATCACTAAATTTCACCTTACTGTCCAAATTTAATGGTTTTAAAGCCAGAAATTCAACAAAATTAATGTGTAATCCCTCAAAATTCACTTGTAATCCCTGTAATTACGTAATCTTGTGTAAATCCTAAATCGAAGTAGTGGCCCCCTCGGGTGAGTGCCGCCGCAGAGCGTGGTAGCGGTTAGCCCAGGCCGTCGCTCACTCATGCCCACGGGTACTGCCCGCAGATGTTCGAGCCGGGCCTGGAGCGTCTGCACTGCCGTCGCTGCTCGGCCGAGTCCGGGACCTCGCTGCCGCCCGCCCAGGTGTTCACCACCATCGGCATCTACAAGGTGAGGACCAGGACCGTGGCAGCGAGCGGCGTCTGGTCACCACCCACACGAGGAAGGCGCTGACCGACAAATGGATGTTGCAGGGCTCGCGGGTCGCCATCAAGAAGATCACCAAGACTCGCGTGGACATCACCAAGAAGCTGCTGTGGGAGGTGAAGCAGGTGCGCGACGTGAGCCACGAGAACACGGTGCGCTTCGTGGGCGCGTGCGTGCAGGCGCCGTGCGTCATCATCCTGACCGAGTACTGCCCCAAGGGCTCGCTCCGCGACGTGCTCGAGAACGACGCGCTCAAGCTCGACTGGAACCTGCGCATGTCGCTCATCCACGACCTGGTCAAGGTCAGTCGAGTAGCACCAGGTAGGGCTGAACCGCCCCGTCATCGCCCCCCCCCCCCAACCGTGCCTGCATCTCCGACCATGGTGTCTTACGGCCAGACCGAGTCTGCAACCCACCCGCACGGATGCACGCGGCACTGTACGGGGTGGTCCACAGGCCCCTCCCTTTATTTTGCTATTTTGCTTATACTGTACCGCATGCAGGTGTGCGGACGGGTTGCATACTTGCACGGGGCCGTAAGGGGCCGTGGTGAGCGACGGTAGGCCAGCCCGCCTGCATGCGGTACAGTAGAAGCAAAATAAAGAAAGGGGCCTGTGGGTGGACCACTCTACCACTCTGTATAACTTAGTTTGTCGACGGGCTTATACGCCTTCTGCGACTTGCGTTTTATATCACAAAACGCAAAAACAAAAAAGCACAACAAAACGAGCAAAACGTGAATTGCTGCGAACTTGTTCTGTAAGACTGTGTTTGGGCGCAGGGTATGGTGCACCTGCACAGCTGCGAGCTCGGAGTGCACGGCAAGCTTCGCTCCGGGAACTGCCTCATCGACTCCCGCTTTGTGCTCAAGGTGTCGGACTTTGGACTCGCCACGCTCACGGCGCCGTCGGAGGTCATCAAGGACCAGGCCTACTACACGAGTCGGTATCCAGATTCGACGCCCGCCGTTGTTTCCGGTTTTTGTTTTGGTCGCGCTGCTGGCTGCATTTTACGCCTCGTCATGTCACTTCTGCCCCGCGTGCAGAGATGCTGTGGATCGGGCCCGAGCTGCTCCCCCTCACCATGGTGCCCGGGACGCCGTCCTCGCAGAAAGGTGACGTGTACAGTTTCGCCATCATCCTGGAGGAGATCGTGACCCGGGCCGGTCCTTTCGAGGCGGCTCGGCAGCTCCTCTCAGCACAGGGTACGGCTGCGACATGAAATATCAAACTTCAAAATGTACTAGTTGTAAAGACAAAATTTAAGTCCTGACTTATGCTACACAACGTTTTCATCAGTAACTTCACATTTTGTCGATGAAAACGATGCAGGATTGGACGAGCTGAGCTAACGGCGCCGTGCGCGTGTTCCGCTTGCAGAGGTGGTGGCCCGCGTGCAGGCGCGGGAGAGCCCGCCGCTGCGGCCGGTCGTGGCCTCGGGGCGGGACTGCCCCGAAGCGCTGCTCGACCTCATGGGGCGCTGCTGGGCGGACAGCCCGGACGACAGGCCCTCCTTCGAGGCCATCCGCGGCGAGGTGCGCAGGATCATGAAGTGAGTGTCTGCCTGTACCGCTGTCGGCCACCGCCGCCGCCGTCGTCACTGACGCTTTCCTCTTCCGCTCCGCGACGACCAGGGGCTACTGCGAGAACCTCATGGACGACCTGCTGCGGCGCATGGAGCAGTACGCCACCAACCTGGAGGCGCTCGTGGAGGAGAAGACGGCCCAGCTGAGCCAGGAGAAGCGGCGCTCCGAGGAGCTGCTGTACCAGGTGCTGCCCAGGTGGGTGTCGGCGGACAGGAGCGCCGCGAGTTACCCAACGGCCGCTCGCGTGGCCCTGGGCGGGGCGCTGGACAAGCGACATG